TATAGTATAGTTTTTAAATATATTTCTATCAGATGATAAAAAAAAAGCAATGAAAACTACAAAATAATTCTGAATCATGTACTTAAAATATATTTGTAAAGATACAAAAGATATCTTAAACAGATTTCATTGAAATTCTTTCGTAACTAGTATTTATATAGAATTTACATACAAAATATTTTGAATAACTTTTTAAAATAACTTATCAGGGTTTATATATTTTATTAAAAATAAATTCAATGAAATTTGTGCTCTGTGCTTTTATTACGTCATTATTTTACAGTGACGTTTCTGGATGCATATATGCGCTTGTAATGCGTTTTTAAAAATACGTTTGAATCTCAAAGGAAACTTCAGTAAATCTTTTCCTTAAATGTAATCAATATTGTAATGAATGTGAGAATGTGAGTGTATAATGAAACTTATTAATCACTTGCATTGCAATTTCTATTTTTATAAAATGAAACAGCGTTTGCGAATGTCATTCTAATGTTGGTAGAAATTATTTTTACTTGTTAAATTGGTCCAGATCTGACTTTTGAAAAGATTTCGGCTGACTAGGTTCAAACAAAAAGAATAATATATTGTACTATGCTAGATGATGTACTAAGACACTAAGTACCTGAAAATATGAAATGTTTTTCTAAACTACTGAAAATGATCCTTCTGTAAACAGAAAGGTATGTTTGGCTTCTCTAAAAATATATTTGTATAATACAAAATGAAACTGTCATCAAAACTGCAATTGTTATTAATTTTTGAAACTATAAGAAATTTTAATATAATTTTTCTAAATACTGTGTAACATGCAGGTGAAACGTATCTGTATAGATAAATATTAAGTAACATTTGTTAAATAATACAATGATTGTTCGATTACGAATACTTTTCATTCCCAAAAATCTTCCTCGAATACACAGATCAACATATATAATACAAAATATGAACAGTATTATTCGTGTTGACTGAAATTTGGTACTCTCGGCGGTTGTAATTCAAGAAAGTCACATCTTAATGATATTAGACACTGTGCACGCGATATGTGAATGATATATTCGCACTTCATCATGATCTTCAACATGCATATTCATTTATGCGTATGTGACACAAGTATTTTTTTTTTCGTCGCATTATTGGAGTGTATGCAATCGTTATCGAACTCTATATTATCTACATGCCTATAATTGTCAATTCAAATGAAAATTTCGCAAAAATATTACTTATCATGATTTTCAATTTTTAATGATCTTTAATTATCTTCATTACTTAGTCAGACAATTTTGATTGACGCTGAAAAATATTTAAAATCAATTTCAAGATTTTTCTTAGAATACTTCTAGTATGTCAAAGTTTCTAGAAAAGATTGAGTGTCATTTAATTGTATGTCATTTAATTGTACGGATGATGAAAATCATTAATTTGCATACGCATAATTCACAGTCATAATAAAATTATGTAATGCTACTAGAAACATCAGGTATTCTCACTATGGATAATGAGCATCTCATTTGAATATTTATCTATCTTCTCTTTTTAAACATGTTTTTTTATTCCTTTTCTTTCTTAAATTACGCAGAATAATTCAAGAGTAATTCCGAGGTCAAATCATCTATCAATGTACATTAATATTATTATAATTTTCCAATTGATTAATCTTCAACAAAGGAGTGCAGTTTGGTGTGAAGGAACAAAAGAAGCAAAGTAGTAATTAATCCTGATAAAAACTAAACAGCTAAATTAAAATGCCCATTATTATTGCATTCTCAACTTTTCTCTTAGCAAATGAACGCTCTGTTTGTTGGATCAGAAGTAACAAAAGAGAAAAGAGAATAATTTCCCAATTCATCCAAGGTCCTGTTTGCGATATCCGTTAGAAAAAGAGGCAAAAAAGGAGAGCCAGTACCGCGAATCTCGGTGAAGCAAATGCAACTGAAGGTAGTTAACACGCAACAATCTTGTCCTTGATCCGTGGACATTAGTATAAAGGAAACTGTACGAGCACCACGCGGAGCAGATTGAGGGAAACCTCGATGCGCAACCATGCCGGCCAACGAGGAAACTTTGAGCGTCTCCTCTGATCGAATGAGAAACAATTTCTTGGGAAAAGTTTGTGACAACGGTTTACAAAGCAGTCCTGCTCGTGTATTTTCCGACGACGATGAAGAGGATGGTCAGAATTGTTGTCCAGAATCTATTATCAACGAAGATAGCGAAGAAAATTGTAATTATAAAAGTCTTCCAGTGAGAGAGGTCCATGAAAAGTTTATGAAGAGTTTTGTTGATCTGCTCCTGGAAGAAGCAGTTTTTGAGGTAAGTTTATTGTTAAAATTTACTGTTAAAAGAATATATATATATATATTTATTTATAATATATATAATATATATATACATATTTTTTAATTATTATTGGGATAAATGAGTGTGCTTTTGACAAGTTATTTAGAATAAAAAAAATAGAATTGAATAATTATGCAATAAAGTGAATTAAAATTTCTATTAAATTCTTCAAAAGGATCACTTAAATGTATATATATATGTATATATATATATTTATTTATTTATAATAAATATAGAAATAAATAAATAAATATATATATATATTTTAATTATTATTGGGATATATGAGTGTGTTTTTGACAAGTTATTTAGAATAAAAAAAATAGAATTGAATAATTATGCAATAAAGTGAATTAAAATTTCTATTAAATTCTTCAAAAGGATCACTTAAATATTTTTTTTTTTTTATTGAGGCAATTTTACTCGAAGTTCATTCATTTGCAACGCGTTTAATAAAAACAAACTGATAGTTGTATACATGAATTATGACGCACGAGAATTAGAAGAAATCTAAATCATTGGTGTTGATTTTTTTCATTCAACGATTTGTCTTCTTGATAGTACTATCACGTGTATTAACACGTTCTTATGACTCTGTACGTCGATTATGGAACGATTCTAAGTTTGACTAGAAAAAATTCAAGGAGAAAAGTGCGTGACGCACTTTGATTCTGGAAATTGCTTTGGCATTTCGATCAGGGTTTATTGACTTGAAACAACTTGGAAAACATGTTACATTTTCCGCATAAAACAGTGCAACTTCTTACCCGTTCTTTGATTTATAACTTTTAGTCACAATTTTAAACTTACTTAAATTACAAATTATTGTGTATGTTCAATTATATATTAATTAATTAATATATAAAATAAGATATATTATTATTCTTTTTTTTTTTATTTTTTGAGTATTATTAAGAAATTGAAAAATTTTAAAACAAGTCACTTGAATATCTTTCTTCAATTTTCATTACTAATTATTTCTTCAATAAATTAGATGTTAATATAGATAATTTCTTTAATATTTTAAAAATAAATCGGAAAGTTGAAATAAAAATTTTTTAGATGATTCAAAAGAGGAGATATAATTTATATAAAATATATAAAATCAAGAGAAGTACTGAATAAAAATATGATTTCTAGAATTAACGTTACACTCGAACGCCTCCAATCACTTTTTTTCCTTGAAAGCCATTCACTATGAATTGTTCAATATATACCTCAAATACATTACCGTCATAAAAATTTCTTTCCCTCATTTTTCTTCAGTATTTTAATAAACGTTAAATACCAACATTTCATAGACTGTAATCTTTTTCTTTTTCTGTTTTTTGCTTTCTTGATTTTTAAAATTGAACACAAGCACGTATACTTCATATGAACATTATTGAAATAAATTTTTATAATTGTTATAATTGTTCTTGTAATTTTAATAGAAGTGAAATAATGGTAATCATTTCCTCTAGATAAATTTAAATCTTCGTTCGATGCAATTACATCATTTAATTAAAGTAAATTCTTCAATTCCCATCTTCATTGATTTATTATAATGATTTATGATGTATTCCTCTTTTCTAATCATCAAAACGTAAGTCAAACGTTGATTATGTGAGTTTTTCTTCGCTTGTTAATGATTCGTTATGAGAAACTACGCTGTAAATTGCTTGTAAAGTTACTCTACTTTCAAGCTGAATTATAAAATAAGAATAGAAAAAAAACTGCATCGCAAAAGAGGAGAAGCTAGTTCTTATGTTAATGGATGGAAATTTTTGCAATTCTCTGAGGCAACAAATCATTCTGGTTTCAATCAGAGAAATATTATTCACTAACAATTTCTTCAAGCCTTCAGTCAATTAATTTCAATTCTTTGAATGTTGTCAATGATAACAATTAATGATCGTTATCACTTCTATAATGTTTATTCTCTGTCAGGATGGATAACTTTTTCTATCCACCTGAAACAATTAAAAATTTATACCTAGCATGATATATCAAATTTAAAATATTGGAGAAAAAAATAATACTGAATCACCAGTTATGGAAGTGTTAAATAACAAATTTTATATTACACAAACATACTTATCTTTCAGGGAACTTCAAGGAAAAACAAAGTAGTGGAATGGATGGAACCAGCAGCACTTCAATCAGCTATTGACTTGAAATTGTCTGACCAAGGATCATCTCATAAAAAGCTTGCCACTCTTGCCCGCAATGTAATTAAGTACAGCGTAAAAACAGGCCATCCTCGGTTCATAAATCAACTATATTCCAGTGTGGATCCATACGGTCTTCTTGGACAATGGTTAACAGATGCCTTAAATCCTTCAGTTTACACGTATGAAGTTTCTCCAGTATTCTCCTTAATGGAAGAGGAGATACTGTACGAAATGAGAAAGATAGTTGGCTGGAAGGATGGCAGAGGTGAAGGAATGTTCTGCCCTGGTGGTTCTATTGCCAATGGCTACGCAATCAATCTGGCACGGCACTATAGGTTTCCTGAGTTGAAGGAGTTAGGTTTATCCAGTGCTGGCAGATTAATAATTTTCACATCCAGAGATTCTCACTATTCTGTCAAGAAGCTCAGTGCATTCCTGGGATTAGGCACTAATAATGTCTACGAAATAAAAACTGACAGTAGAGGAAAGATGTGCGTAATAGACCTGGAAGCACAGATCAAGAAAGCTCTTGACGAAGGTGCAGTGCCTTTGATGGTCTCTGCCACGGCAGGGACCACAGTTCTAGGTGCCTTTGATCCATTAAAAGAGATAGCCGTCATTTGCAAGAAATACAGTCTGTGGTTCCATGTAGATGCAGCTTGGGGAGGTGGAGCTTTGATGTCAAAGAAGCACAGGTATCTCCTGGCTGGTGTTGAGCTGGCAGATTCTGTCACTTGGAATCCACACAAATTGCTGGCCGCTCCGCAGCAATGTTCAACATTGTTACTGCGTCATGAGAGTCTCCTGCAAGCAGCGCACGGTTCAAAAGCCAGTTATCTCTTTCAACCTGATAAATTTTATAATATTTCTTTCGACAGTGGAGACAAGCACATTCAGTGCGGCCGGAAGGCAGACGTGCTGAAATTCTGGTTTATGTGGAAGGCGAAGGGCACTCGAGGATTGGAGAAACACGTGGATCGGGTGTTCGAACTGGCGCGGTACTTCACGAATTACATAAGACACCGAGAAGGTTTCAAACTGATGCTCGAGCCCGAGTGTACCAACGTTTGTTTCTGGTACGTGCCACCCTCGAAGCGTCACTTGCAAGGCGACGAACTGTCGAAGGCACTCCAGAAAATCGGGCCAACAGTGAAGGAGCGTATGATGAAGAAAGGCTCGATGTTGATCACGTATCAGCCTCTACACGAGCTACCTAATTTTTTCAGGCTCGTTTTGCAAAACTCTGGTCTCACCGAGGCTGACATGAGATTCTTCGCAGAAGAGATCGAGAGGCTTGCAGTTGATCTGTAGAATTCGTACTTTTTAAATTGAAATTTTAATTATGTAACTTTCAATTTCGCCGAGGATTTCTGCTAACGGCGAAAGCTTTCAATAAAAAAAAAAAAATATATATATATATACATACATATTTTTTTAAATAATAATCAGTCGATTGTTTTATATATCTATTTTTTTATTTTTCGATTTTTTTGCGTTTCCTCTTCGAAAAATTCGTTTTCCTGATACATCTTCCTTTGGAATACATTAAATTTTTGTTTCACAAATTGTTTAAATAACGAATATATAATCGTTTAAACACTCAGTAAAAAGAGCATAACAGTTGTTTGTAAAGTATGGATGAACACCTGATCATTTTGATCTCGTTTAAAACTTGAATGTTAAGTAGCTCTTTATCAATTCAATTCAAAATCTTCAATGTGATTTTCAATCATATCTATTTACGAGTTAGTGAACTTCTTACGTATGTTTACGTGTGAATATCGATTACTAAAATATCGAGTACGTCGTTGAACGTTTTTTTTTTTTTTATTAACATCGAATATCTTGGACAAACGTGAACACATTAATCTTCTCTGGTGGGTGAACTTCATCGTAAACGGAGTCATACATGACAGAGACGCGAAAATCATTTTTCAGGTTCATCTACACATACATATATCTTGCTTATGTGTTAACAGTTTATTTCTCTAGAACTCTAGACAAGTTGTGGTTTGTTCAATGCAAGTTTTTAATATATAATTTATTTGCAATGTAATCTCAATATCGTTGTATTATAAAAAAACATTGCTAGTTATTCACGAATTATGGTACATACGTACAAACACCCACCATACATTCCAACGGTTCTGAAATAACAAGCTCATTGATTCTATGCCGTACGATCTTTCAAATATAACTACAACATACTATATACAAATATTCGATGAATTGTGAATTTCATTTCGTGTAAATAATACATTTACATAGATTCATATAATCCCTTCTGTGCCAGATACATGACAGATTTAATATAATCTTATAAATTCACTTTATAATATTTCCTCGTTGGGAAATGCAAAATAATATACATTTTGACAATTTATGCGAATAAATTTGTGATAATTTTGTGGAAATTTAATACTGATGTATGAACCCTGACACGTCCAGGATGAAATAAAATGCATGAAAATTTCCATCATATTCATTATTTGTACTCTTCGAGGAACCTAATGTGAAATTGCTTTAGATTCTCGAGCATCGTTTTCATTTTTTCCTTTTGTGGCAAGATAGTCGTTCTGAAGTGATAGGTTCCAGGTCGCTGTTCAAAACCGGAACCCGGTATTACGCAGATTCCGGTAGACTCTAACAGCTTAAACGCGTAAAAGACGTCAGGTTGTTGACCTTCTTTCTCTGCTGCGGCTATGGCTTTTTTGGGCAATTCGATTCGCGGAAATACGTACATTGCACCCATAGCTGGGTTTACCTGTCAAAGATTGAAATCTTGAAGTTTTCTTTCTTTTAATAACAATTTAGGAATTCCACAAGTGGAAAATTTATAATTCTAATTAATGATGTCTGAAATTTCTATGATAAATTTCTATAATAAATTTTTGAAAAATACCTTAAAACCTGGAATGCTATTTAATGTATCAACCACCAACTGAGATCTCTCTGCTAAAGAGCATAAAGTGTGCTGTTTTTCCTTTAGAAACAACTGATAGGATGGCTCATTTGGTTTTGGGGGATTTACCACAACGTCCATCACTACTTGACCAAGAACAGTAGGACAAAGCATCGCTGAGATCGATTTCAATAATATCGCCATTACTTTAGGATCCATGTTGATAAATTCCCCGTACCCGCCGCGGATTCCACATTCTCCCATGTAACCTGAAACATGTGCGTATAAAGAGATTAATATCTATTCCAACAAATATTTGGAACTTTCCAAAAATAATACTGGACAATTTTATATCAAGCATTATAAGAATTTGACGTAGCTAACTACTTTTTGAACTTATTTCTTAGCTAGACATATTGGAAAATAGCGAATATTTATAATTAGCAATTAAATTAATAAAAAATCAACTTGATTTCAAATTAGAGTGTACCTTTAGATACAGACATGAATGAAGCCAGCTCCATTTTACAGTAAGGTTCTCCCATCTCTGTCATCACCTTCTTGAACGAGTGGAAGGCACTATCTTTGTCATAAACATTATCCTGATAAACTTCGTCAGCCAATAGGAACAAATGGTTTTTATAAGCAAACCGGACGATATCCTCGATATTGGTCCGCGTAAGGACTTGTCCAGTTGGATTACCAGGATTTATTACGACTAACACACGAGGGTTACATATTCTCCTTGATTCATTTAATGCTCTATCTAATTCGGAAATATCCAGCGCCCACTTGTTCTCCTCATTGAGATAGTAACCAATTTGGGCCAAGCCGAATTCAGCCAGAGTGGCAGAGTATAGAGGGTACTGTGGAATTGGGATCATCACTCCTGATGGTTTTCCATCTACTTTCTCATTGAACAGTTTCAGGAAAGACTGTAACATAAATGCAATGAAAGTGATTACATAGATTGTTCATATACTCTTTCAAAATTAAACTGAAGGTCACAGAATAATTTGAATTTTTTATTTGAACATTTGTTAACGGATTGTAAATATTCAAAGATTGTAGTTGCGTAATATGTGACCTGATCATTTAAAATAATACACAGATGTTTCAGAACTACAAGTTCATCAAACAAATGTAATTGTTTAATTTTATATCGAATTTGGCTCTTTTTTTTTAACAATGAGGCTTTAAAAATATGTAGCTGATTTCACATCTACAAACTTAGCTTAAAATTATGTAGCCTGTCCAAACCTTCTAATACTATTGATTTATTTTATAAATATTTTTGTTTTCGTGTTCTCCCAAATATTTAATCATCCTCTAATCAGCATCATTCTAACCTGGCATATCTATCTAATCATAATATTTATCAATTTTTGAATTTCAATAGTTAATTTTACCCATTTTCATTATATTACTAAACAGAAAATGTTCCTTTTCTTTTATAGCGTGCTAAACTGGCTCATAATTTTGAAACACCATGCATAGAAACAATATACTAAAATCATAAAACTATTATTCTAATTTATGATCTTGTTATATCGCTCCTATTATGCTTAACAATGAAATACAAAAGAAATAATCTGCACACTTTGATTCCATCTGAGGCGCCGTTCGAGAGGATGATGTTATGATAATCAGAGGGAATCCCATCACGATCTTGAATGTATTGGGCAACATGTTTCCGGATGACTTCGATTCCCGCCGATTCCGAGTACGAACCAACGCTGCCTCCTTTACACTGGCACAATATAGTCCTCGCTCGTTCCTTCGCGTCCTCGGGATAACTAGGATCATTGAGAAGGTTTGGCGACACCGTCAAGGTCAGTACTTGCCTCAAGAAGGTGATAGGCTGCTGGCCCATAGCGTGTGCATCCCCCACGTTCGCTTTTATCACCTCCTTGAATGGCTTTTTAGCTCCCTGAAACAAAACAATGTGTTAATATACATAATATATATTAATTTAGTATATTTATATATTTAGTAATATATTAATATAATAGTAATATAATACTTAGTAATATATTAATATAATAGTAATATAAAAGTAATATATATATTTAATATATATTTTATAATATAAATATAAAATACAAAATAAAAATATAAAATATATATTATATATATTATATAATATAAAAAAATATATATTAAATAATATTTTATAATATAATATAAAATATAAATTATATAATATATAATTTATATATTTAAATATTTATATTATAATTTATTTATATTATTATTTATATTATAATATATTTATATTTAAATATAATTTATATATTTAATATATTTAGTAATATAGTAATATATATATTTATATATTTAGTAATATATTTAGTAATATATAAAGTTATATATTTAGTAATATATTTAGTAATATATAAAATATACTTTATAAATTTATTGGTAATTATAATAAAATTTACTAATAGTTGATACATTTAAATAAAAATTATACTACAAAACAAAACTATACTGTTCTATAAATATTTTAAATATTAATGTGAATATCTTTGTAATTAATTATACATAAGTATTATGCCATTTTGATATTTTTATAATATTAATAATATTAAACTATTACAATTTTTTTATTTGAAATTTTACTGAGACTCTTTGTTCTTTAATTAATTACCTACTTCTATGTGCATTTTACAATATGTGAATGATAGTAATCATGATTTATGTAAAATTATTAATTTACAATATTCCTTCGCTTTTATTATAAATTATATTTAGTCTGTAGGTCTAGCAGAGTGAAAGCTTATCAGTAGCGCAAATATCGGATTTTTCTCGTCACTTATTGCTTTTATTAGATCATAAGTAAACTGTATATTTTTTTTTCATTTTATATGAAATATTTTTTCTTCCTTATCCGCGTATTGTTTAATACTTAAATGCATCGATTCAATCAAGCAAACATTACGCAATGTATATAGTGTATACATTCATATCACTCAACATATACAGAATAATACGTAAGTCAAGCACAAGATTAAATAAAATTTTAAACTTTTATAACGCTCAGTTACACTTCTTTTTAATTAATACCAATTGGAGATTTTTTTTTTAATGAATTTCTGATAATAGTCTAGAAAAATTAAATCTCGTGGCAATTGTTTCATTTATACCTTATACCTTTATAACGAAATAACTACGACGTGCATGAAATACTCTTGTTGGCATTATTCCCTCTTCATGACTCAGTTCAAGAATTCCAGAAAGTCAAACGATCACCGACTATTTATCACAAAAGTCACGTAATCACGAAATAGATTATCCTAAAATGAAAACATGTTTTACATAAACATAAATAAATAGACGTAAAATATATAGACCATTTATAGGTATTCATAAAGTTCATAAATATTCGATATTCCGTAATAAATAAATAAATTGTATCTAACTTTATATTCAATTTTTGTATATTTCTGTAAACTTCTAAATTCTTCAAATATTTCTTTTTTTATTTTTCTGTAAAAACTACCATTGTACATTATACAAAAAATTATTATCTTTTATTGAAATATTATATGAAATATTATATACTACTTACTTTTATATTTATTCTTATACATGTTTTTTTTTTTACAATTTAAATAGTATGTTCGACACAAGGTGATATTATTGATGCGTAACACGAGTTAACATACATATCAAGGCTGCTACATGTTTATCTCTTTCTTTACAGTTTATGGTTTCAAATTGCACAGTCAATCAACAAGCCATTTAAATGGTTCTTATTACATACTAAGCTCATTCTTAGTCACCAGTTGTTCACTAGCTCGTTTCAATATTCCTTTCATTTAATACATTAATGATGCTCGTTTTCAGACAATTAATTGTAAAAATTTATATAGTTCTTAAATGATGCGAAATTTGAAAATTATAAATACAAATATATCACGTACAGTAATTATATAGTTATATGCACATAATTTGTATATTTGCTTGTTTCTTTTTGTAATAAATATAGAAATAATAGAAATAAAATTTATTTTAAAACAACAAAATTATAATTCATTTAATTTTGAATTATGATTATATGTACAATATGTGTATGTACAGCATACACATACTTTTTCATAATTTTAAATATTGATTCATAATGCAATTACGTCTGTATGTGTTTCTTGTACTACATAATTAAATAGAGTATATAGCTACGTACATAAGTAAAGTTCGATTGGAATTTTATTTGAAAAGCGAATAAAATATTTTTGTCGTTTCACACAACATCCGTTTATACTAATTGACGTCAATTGAAACACTATTTTTAGTGATTTACACCTTGAGTCAAGCCCTCAGCGACAGGTGGTTCCAACATCAATCGAATATGTATTCGATGTATCGTCATTTAATCTCCACTATTTATTCCTTTTTTTCCTGTACTTTTATTTAAACATGTAAAATATATAGAAACTATAAAATATGTAAAATATATATTTATATGTATCAGCAAATTTAAATTTTAAGCAATATTAACCTTCTTTAAGTTTGAAATGTTACTTTATCTATGTTGCATAATTCGTTAACTAGAGGAGTATTTCTTGATAAGCCACGTCAAAACATATTTATTAATTGATTTTAAGTTTCATCTAATCGCACTCCTCTCATATATTATCTGTATTATCTACTTTTGCCCTATCATTAACAACCAAAGAAAAAACAGATAACAGATTTCTTTAAATGATATTTACATTAGAAACTTCCATGCACAAATATTCCAGATATAATAAACAAAACAAACCGACAAAAATGTACTGCTCTCACAGTTCATTCTACACTCAAAACTACGTCCTTCACAGATGTAAAATTACACCGTGAATACCATTCGCGTTTCCTTATCATAGTTGTCAATTATCCGAAACAGCTGAAATCGGACCATTATAACCCAATTTCGTTTCCGTAGGTTGCGTCCATTTAAATAGTCGATCGATTTCGATGGAAGCGTTCGATACCAAAGGATACAACACAATGTACACGCGAATTAGCCCTGCAATGGAATGTTAATATTTTTCAAACTAACAACGCAAATGAAGTCATTTAAACTTGGTGTATAGTACATACAAATTCTACGATTCACTAAAGTATCTTCGTATCGTTTAAGGTTATAAAATTCAAATGTTCCAAATGATTACGGAATCTTCCTATTTTGCAGTGGGTAAAATCGGTATTCTGTCGGGCTTGCAAAAAACCTTAATGTGATAGCGCAAGATTAAGCTACGGAAACTGGTGACCGGAAATGATCAGTTACCCCTTATCGCATTTATCGGTATGTATATACATATATGATGATGATGATGATGATGATGATGATGATGATGATGATGAT